ATGTACACAGACCCAGAACTTGGGACATAGAATTTCAGGACAGAGGTTGGTTCCTGGGCCCAATGAAGCCCCACTCCGTGCCATGGACCAAAGTTAGGAACCTCTGGGAGGCCGAGGCAGGCGGATCACCTGAGGTCAAAAGTTTAAGACCAGCCTGGCCAATATGGTGAAACCTCGTCTCTACTAAAAAATAAAAAATTAGCTGGGCATGGTGGCAGATATCTGTAATCCCATCTACTTGGGAGGAATCACTTGAACCTGAAAGGCAGAGGTTGCAGTGAGCAGAGATCATGCCATTGCACTCCAGCCTGGGCCACAGTCTCAAAAAAAAAAAAAAAAAAGCTCACAGGGACCCTCCTTGCTGAAGGGGTTTAATCTGTCCCTGGGTGGATCCAGATGACAAGGGGCCTCCTGCCCTGCCAGAAGCCTGTTGGCACCATGGGAGGAAGTTCTGGTCTTTATGCACTAAATCCTGGATGCTATGCGGCTACAAAGGAAATGTCACCTGCACAGAACACGGCTGCTCTGCCCTGGGGCTGAGAGCATGGCTCTGCCGTTCTCAATTCAGCCCCGCCAGTGACGTCAAAAGCTGAGCAGCAGCCCTTGAGTGATGGGTTATTGCACAGGAATCATCCTGGACAACGTCCCTTAGGAGGCAGATGTGGGTCCTGACTGAAGCGAAGGGCCTGGGCCCTCCCTCAGACAGGCATCACTGGCAAACCTGCTTCCCCCCAGGTATGAAGCTGTGCCCACAAATCACTCAGGCCAAATCCAAGGTCAGGCAGGACAGGGAGCTTGCCGGGCACCTCTGCCACTGCTGCTGCCTCCCTTTGTATGTGTTTCTGGGGGGATTTTCCTAGGGCAGACTGACTCAGAGCTGCTCTGAAATAGGCAAAGAGAGAGTCCAAGCCCAAGAAAGCATGAGCTGGGCTGCGCCACCAAGCCAGCACAGGGTCTGGGAGGGAGGAGAACGAAGGGAGGGAGCACAGCATGGGAAGCAGACTTCCCCTGGAGCTGAGCCCCCAAAAGCTGGACAAGCAGAAAGGCATTAGGGATTGAGCTTCTCAAAGGGAGAACTGAATCACTCTCCTCGGGCCAGCTGAGAGAGCTCTGGCTCCAGCTCCCTCCTCATTCCCCAAAAGTGAGATGCCCAAAGTAGGCTGGCTGACAACTCAAACCCTGAGGAGTCCATTCATTGTCACCCAAGGGCCACCCACATGGTTGGGGGTGGGACACAATGGAATGGAGGAAAAGCCACCAAGGCCTTTCCTCCAAGCACACCACATACAGTGCCCAGAATCCACGGTCTTGCCTGTCCCTTCCATCTGGGACCCACCAGAACTGCCTTCCAGTCACTACACAGCCAGAATGCTTAGCAGCACCCCTGTGCCAGCAAAGTGAGAGCCGAAGGGCAGGCAGGCAGTGGGAGGGAACCACGAATGAGAGGGCCAGGCAGAGGGCTGGGCATGGAGCAAGCCTGGGAGAGCAGGATCCAGCTCCCATCCAGCCCAGGAGCCGCCACCTGACCACCCTCCAGCCAGGGACTGTCCAGGAGGCAGCACAGAACCTCTGGCAAGAGGCCTTAAGCCCTGGCGCCCTCTCAGCCCTGCCACTAACCCAGGCCAATCATTGTAAAGGCTGGCGTCTCCAGTGGTAACTTGGAGCACAGGCTGGCCGGCCTCATCCTGAGTTTACTTCGAGGGGCAAATAAATGCAGCCTGGCATGGCACTGCCTGGAAGACCCCCACGCCCTGGAGAGCTATCACAGAGTCCCACTTGGCCTGTCTTGCTTTAACTCTTGACTGCCCCAACACCAGATACAGAAAACAGCTGCTTCCTGCCTGTGAGCTCTGTCTTCACAGACATAAAGGTGGTTGCACTGTTCTGAGCATCTGCTCCAGACTAAGAACCAGGAACTCAGCCCCAGGATTTCTGAATTTCCGGAAATGAGTTCTAGGCAGCATCAGCCACATGTTCCACAAACATAAGAACATACCTGAGAATGTATGTCACAGTAGGAAGACGTTTTTATCCCCAACTTTTAGGTCAAGCTCCTGGGTGGAAAGGAGTTGGAAGGCCTGGGGGAGTCTTTTTGTGCAAACAGCTCAGTCTTCAAGCGCCACAGGGAAGAAGGTGCCAAGAGCAGGTCAGAGCCGAAGGACCCTGCTCCAGCAGGCCCAGTCACTGGCCTATGTCTGACTTCCCGATGGACTTCAAGGTCCAATTCCCTTAGCTGGAGGCCACCAGGAATGGGATCGAGCATCCCTGGGCTTTGGTTTTTGTCATCAGTCCTCAGTTCGACTGGACTCACACCTCCTGTAGTCTTTCTGGGTTCAAGAGAACTAATGCTCTAACCAAGAGGTTGGGCCCCTAAGGAGCTCCTCCCCTTCAGGCACCTCCCGGCGAAGCTCCTTAGAGCTGTCCTTGAGACCTGCAGGACAGCACGCAGGCCCTACCAGCCTACTCTCTGGGAGGGACAGGGACACGCAGCCCTCCCCGACGCTGGAGGCTGGCTCTAGGACAAGCAAAGTTCCTGAGCTGCAGAATGACCGCAGCCTCAGGCCTAGAACAGCCTGGTTCACCAGCAGGTGCTGGTTAAATCCACAGAAGAGACACACGTCAACAGGCACAACTCAGAGACCCTAGGGGCCCAAGGGACACTCTGCAGAAAATAAGGAAGGCAGGAATAAACAGAAACCAGAGTAGAAGGGGCAAGGGAGGCAGAAGGTGGCCTCAGCAAGTCAGTATGTATACAGGACAGACTCCGCACAGAGAAAAGGAAAAGGCGGAGGTTGGACGCAGCCAGGCCATGTCTGCAGCCATTATTTATGGATGCTTCACTTGACTTCAGTCTCCAAACCTGGGCTCAGCATAGAGACTGAATGTCCCTCACAGCTGCTCCTTCCTGCAATAACAAGACTGACATCACTGTTGTCAGGGAAATGGTGTTTTGATTAAAATCATGTGACAGCTACTTCGTGATTCAATAAACAAATCCCCTGTTAACCCTCGCCTGACAAGGCCTCCCAGCAACTCCATCCACCATGCGACCGTCCAAGAGCGAGCCGCTGTGCTGACCTGGGGCAGTAGGGTGTGGGAGGTGACCCACGCTGCTCCCTGACAGGTACTGCCTGAGGGGGACACATGTAACATCCAACACACAGGTACCTCTACAGACTTCAAGGGCACCAAGGAGGTGCCCCTCACAAAGAGGGACTGGCTCTCACCTCTTCCATTTTTTCTTCAAGCGGCAGGCCCAGCCCCTGGGATGTCCAATGGCTCCCTGAGGGCCCTGAGGCTGGCTGAGAACTGACGGAGTAAGGCACTCACTCTCACCCCCTTTGGACAGACTGGCAAGTCAACTAAGCACCCTAGACAGTGAGGGGTTAAGAATAATTTCTAGTTGCAATTGGATGACTTCCTGGATCACTCACTTGGCTGCTGGCCCCTGACACACAGGGCTCTGCCTGGCAACAGCCAATTCCCTTTCCATCTCACCCTCGGGTCATTTTCCTTAAGTGAAACAAATGCATGGAAGGCTCCCTGAGTCATGGGGCGGGGGATTTTTCTGAGTTAAATGAACTGAAGCCTCAGAGGCCTAGCACCACCCGGCCTCCTTTCCTGGAAAACAGATTCCCAAATAGACATGACAGGGGCTGGGGGAGTCTCAAGACAGATCAAAAAATGATGACAGCGCCTACCACGTAGGGTGGGTGGGTGAGGATTACATGAGATGTGAAGTGCCTGACAAGGTGCTGCAGTTACCAAGGCTCAAGTAACAGCAGCTCATCTCAGTAACTCCTCAGCTAGGAGGCGCAGCCCCGGCCGTCACGGCTGAGCACGTCAGGCGTAAGAGAGCCACCTCAATGATCCATGCTCCGTCGGGTCATACCACGCATCAATGGCATGAGCAGTTGGCTCTGAATTTGTAGAAAGACGTAACCCTTTTCTTCCCAAAGAAGTCTGTGGTTTAGGCCTAAAAAAGTGTGTTACTGTCGTTCCCACTCCTTTAGCCAACCTCTCCTCCCTGAGGCCTAGTTCTGTGAAGGGGACATGGACTCCAAGGGCTGGCCACCCCAGGCATCTATCAGGACAGTGGTCACCCAGCACTTCCTCCCACCGTGCAGCCACTGCAGAAATGGCTGGAGCTGCCCACGGACAAGTATGCAGCCCCTCAGGAAGGCAAGAACATTCTAAGATGAGTAGCTGCGATTCTGGACCTGAACAGAAAAAAACGTTTGCATGGCTTTGGTTCACATAAAATGAAAAGCCATGTGACTTAAAAAGCAGCCTTTTTCATATTACTTAATAGAATTTCCACCAAGCAAACCCACTAGAGTGGGTGTGGGAATGTCAGATTTTTCCCCATGAACTACACGCAGTCTGACATCAGCACAAGGCAGCCAGGCCCGCTGCACTCCTTTGCTGAATGTATCTGTAAGTCACAAATCACTCTCCTCATGAATGGCCCTGAGGCAGTGGCTGGCACCGACTGCCAAACTGGGACTTTTGTACACCATTCCCACGCAGAGTAGCATCCAATGGGGCTTGCAGAACGTCTGAGCTGTTACAGAGAAACTTGCAACTATATTTATCTTAAATGGAAATAACTGAGAGGAGTTGTGGCAAATCACTTCCTATATTCTATGAGGAAAATGGGAACAGCCCCTTTATACAAGCAACTCTTCACCAAACTACCAGTGTCCTCTGCATGGGCCTTGCTGTCAGTCTGGGAGGCAATGGGAAATGGGCCTCAGGCCACAAGTGACAGCTCTGGCCAGTGACCTGCCCCACAGAAGGCATTCCCAGAATGAAGGAAGTAAACCAGCAGCAAGCTTTAAAAATCTACTCCGGCCCTTAAAACTGGACTCTTCCCCTGGGGACAAAGTGAGAGGTGCTAATTCTCTGCCTACCTTGCGGTAGCTCCCTGCACACCAGGCCACCCTGGCTGCCCACAGCCCCAAGGGCAGGACTCAGCCCCACGCTTCCAGGGCACTTACCTTCCCTGTGTCTTCTCCAGGCACTCTGGGTCTTGGGAAGTGGCTCTTGTCAACCCAAGGGACACTGGGCTCTTCACTGTCATTCACAGGAAAATCTAGCTTCCTCAGCCTTTGTGCCACCACTAGAGACACAGACAGTGGTGCTGTAACTCTCTCTGACAAGGGCACATCCCACCCAAGCCCACCTGTGCTTCCCAGCCAGGATGCCCTCAGTTGTCCCAGCAGAGATAGGAAGTCCAGCAGTAACCTACAAGGATATGGGGCCCTGGGCAGAGAAAGCCAAGGCAGTCCAAGGCTGTGCTGAGGTGCCTTTCCCTCGGGGCCCTGGAAAGCACTGCCCCATCAGGCCTTTTGGTGCCCACGTGGGTGTTCCCCATATCTTGGTCACTGATGGCCGCCAGAGCCCCAACCACAGTAAAGACCTAGCTCCTTTCAGAGCTCATACTAACGTTAAGTTTAAGAGAACAACTCTGGAGATAGAAATGACTTGGCTTTTCAACGCAATGAGTAATTAAACTCTTCATCCTCCAGCTTTCCATCCCAACTGAACGTTACATAATTTCCTGGAAACAGCAGGCTCATGGAGGCAAACGGGGGACAGTGAGACTATTCTAGGTACAGAGGACTGGAGGGAGACATGTGAGGGAAGAGGAAAGAGGGGAGTAAGGAACTGCATGGAAACAGGAATACTGGAGAATCAAAAGGAAACAATTACATCACATCAGACTGGGGCAGTCACCTCAGCTGGTAAAGCGGGAGAACACTGGGCGACAGGCGCTCTCCCTCTAGTTTCATATCCAAACAGTGGAGAAAAATAGGAAGCTTTACGATAAGAGTCTCACCATTTTTTAAAGTCAGAGGAATTTAAGTAAAAGACAAGAAGACAGAATAAAGACAGAATAAGCACCGGACCTGCCTGGCCACCCCGCCCTGCTGTCGCCGCAGGAACAGAGCCAAAGTGACGTCTAAGGGTGAGCCCCAGCTTTTCAACTTAGTGACAGCACAACGGTTAACAAAGGAACAAAAGTGCACCAAGAAAACACCGACACAGCTTAACCACAGGGTCAGGAAGGACAGGCTTGCTTCCCTGGAGGACTATGCAAGCAACCTGAATGCTTGCACAAGCCAACTCAAAGGTCAAGCTGCCTTCTCTGTTAAGTCAGGACAAGTTGTCTGGCAAAGACCCCCTGGGGCTCTGCATCACAGTGGCTGCACTGTGGGATTTCTGTGAGCTGACGGCAGCCCGTTATTTCAACAAGGCCTCTTTAGAAATCACGTATTCACCTGTTTTCCTTTTTTTTTTTTTTTTTTTTGGAGACAGAGTTTCGCTCTTGTTACCCAGGCTGGAGTGCAATGGCGCGATTTCGGCTCACCGCAACCTCCGCCTCCTGGGTTCAAGCAATTCTCCTGCCTCAGCCAACTGAGTAGCTGGGATTACAGGCACGCACCACCATGCCCAGCTAATGTTTTGTAGTTTTAGTAGAGACAGGGTTTCACCATGTTGACCAGGATGGTCTCGATCTCTTGACCTCGTGATCCACCCGCCTCGGCCTCCCAAAGTGCTGGGATTACAAGCGTGAGCCACCGCGCCCGGCCTCACCTGTTTTCCTTCTTATGAAACAAGACGCATCCTCAGGTTCACATCTTCTTGGTAGCACAGACAGAGAGGCAAGACCTGTTCTCTTTAACCTGAGGGGTAAACCCCACATAAATTGTAGAGAGAAACACCAAGATGAATTCCATTGTTGCTCAGACATTTTTATTGGCATAGGTTGTATGTTTGTGCATGTGTGTGTGTGTGTGTGTGTCTGCTTCATATTTTCTAATCAAACAAACAACTAATGTAAGCTGCCTAAGGATGAAAAACAACAATACATGTTTGAGGCAATCAAACAAATCCACACACAACTGTAGCCAAAGCCAACAGAAGGGCCACATAAAGCTTGTTTCCTGAGACAAGAAAACCTTTGTGTCAATGGGAGAATAAGACACAGTCTGGTTCTTTTGATGATTTGTTCTATGCACACAACACATCAGGATATTTTACAAACTCATCCATTGAACACATTTTTATTGAGCACCCATTATGTGTACCAGACACTGTTCCAGGCACTGGTGATACAGTAGAAGATAAAACAGACAAAAATCCCAGCCTTACAGAGCTCCAAAAGCCTATATTCCAGTGAAATCAAGATAGGAAAACTTTTCCCTTAAATTTAAGGTAGTTTAAAAAAAAAAAAAAAACACAGGAGAACTAATTCACGGAGAACATGGCCAAGTTATGAGCCAAGGAACAATTCCTCTGAAGAGCACCAAAACAAATTCTCTCTCTATTGCTTAAGTCAGAAAGAAACAATGAAGTCCCTGTGGGGTCAACCCAAAAGACAAACCCCCGACCCATGCTTAAGAAAGCCAGGGTCCACTCTCCGTCAAACAGTTTTAGGATGGAGAGGTCAATGCTTAGGGCTCCCCAGGGGGAGACAAAAGGGCATTTTAAAAGTCTGTCCCCAAACCAATGGCATTTCCAACCAGAGTAAAGCAATGGTTCCAATGCAAATGTCTCTCAAATATGAAATCCAACAAAGAGGAACATAACTTGCAGATAATAAAAAATAAAGAACCATGAAACTAAAAGTAAAATGTTTATAGCATAATAGCTTAACATATTAAAATGAGAAAACAGAAAAAGGTTTTGCTTAGGAAAATACTTTTCTTAGCCCAAAGTCATAAAATGGAAACTTACTGTAAGGTAATTTGGCAGTTTAAAATGCAGACAGATAACCTTTGATTTACAATTTCTGTTCTGTTTTTCTAAGGTAGGACAAATTTGAAAGTATTCAGTAAAACTTGGTTTTATGTAACAAATGTACAAAGTCTTAGAGTCGTCTTTGAGCCTTCACTAAACAGGACTTGCTAGATTTCAAAGAGGCTGTGAACAAAATCAACAATTCAAAAACCAACAGGGTAACAAGCAAACTGCATAGCAAGATGCATTGAGAGAAAAATAAACTATAGTAAAACCTCATTAACCAAAATTCATGAGACAAGGTGAGTTTATGTGAAAAAAAAAAAATTTTTTTTTTTTTTGAGACAAAGTCTCACTCTGTCACCCAGGCTGGAGTGCAGTGGTGCAATCTTGGCAGACTGCAACCTCTTCCCCCCGGGTTCAAGCGATTCTCCTGCCTCAGCCTCCTGAGTAGCTGGGACTACAGGTGTACGCCATGATGACCAGCTAAGTTTTTTGTATTTTTAGTAGAGAGGGGATTTCACCATGTTGGTCAGGCTGGTCTTGAACTCCTGACCTCAAATAATCCCAAATGGGTGCTTTTTAAAAAGGGCTTTAAAACTGCTTAAGTAGTTCAAATAGGCTTCCTTATATTAATTTGTTTCAGTAAATTCTTTGGCTTAACTCATTATTTTACATTTTAGAATTAATGAGGTTTTACTGTAAAAGTAGAAAAGCAAACACTTCAAGTGATAAGACTCCAGCATCACCCATACTAAAGTTAGCAATAAAACAGCAGTTTGAAAAGCTACTGTACAATGCAGCAAGGACCAGGTGTTAATACTGCTAGAAGCAACGCCAGGTAGAGTAGGAAATCTGCATAGTATTATGCCTATGGTTCTTAGACTTATTCAAAATACAGAACTGCAATCTTACAATGAAACAGAAATACTGCTTATTAGAAGAGACTACAGGTAAAGCTTTTTACGAAAAAGAGAGAAGTATTTTTAAATGGAGGCACAGTGGTAAGGTATTCAAATTCAGTCACGTGTCAGCATCACACGTTAGCAGCAAGATGCACCCACACTTCAGGTTTCTGAATAACATGACTACATCAAAATCAAGCAAATAAAAATCAGAACAACCACTACACTAACCTTGAGCTTCCACATTCCCCGCCACCACTTTTTTTTTTCTTTTGAGATGGAGTCTTGCTCTGTCACCCAGGCTGGAGTACAGTGGCACAATCTCGGTTCATTGCAACCTCCGCTTCCAGGTTGAAGCGATTCTCCTGCCTCGGCCTCCCAAGTAACTGGGATTACAGTGCCCACCATTGTGCCTGGCTAATTTTGTATTTTTAGTAGAGACAGGGTTTCACCATGTTGGCCAGGCTAGTCTTGAACTCCTGACCTCTTGATCCACCCGCCTCGACCTCCCAAAGTGCTGGGTGGGATTACAGGTGTGAGCCACCACACCCAGCCTCACATTCCCTTTTCATGTGAGACTGATGCAGACCATCATAATCCGGAAAATGTGGCTTTCCCTGTGGTCAAATCACGACATGTCTCCCGAAGAGTTTATAAAATAAGTTATTCTAAACATGTACATTTAACTTTGGAATGATGGAGAGACACAGAGATATATGTAAACATCAAGAGAATCACTCTACTCCACATCTGGGTCCACCCCTCTCCAGGCTTTGTCTGGAACATTATGTGGCTGGGGCCTGATTGCAGTGAGGGTGTGGGAGCCCAGGTGGGCAATGGATAAAGCATTAGGAAACAATCAAGTATCAAGTGTCGGGTATTGGTCAATCAGAATGGCTTAAATAATTAGTTAACAAGGAAGATGAATAAAAAAAATCCCATTTCATCTTTAGAAAGAATTAAGTCACTAAAATTTGATTTCTTCTAAGTTGTTGCCATTTGCTTGGATGAGATCTTGAAGGTTTTCCATCTTTCTCCACCCAGTTAAGAACACATTGACTAGAAATCTGTGATAAGAATTTAGTAAAGGCTTTTCCCCTCCTGCTCCTTGTTATGCCAATGCAAGAACTGGAAAATTCCAAACAAAATCAGGTTAGTGGTACAGAAAGTTTATGAACGATCTACGTGAATATTAAGCACAATAATGATCCAACACATCAGACTAACAACTTCTCATTGCGGTCACTGTCTTTACTCGGCCAGGCTAATCACAAGTACAACTTTAAAAACTGGTTAAATTACAAATGAAAAACTGTTCTTAGCAGTGAGAATCATATTTCCTACCCAGTCCTAGACATGTAACTAAGAAAAATAGTCTGCTCACCGATGAGAAAACGGTGGGCCAAGAGGGTTCTAATCAGAGAGACGGCAGCATTCCAGGAACTCACCACCCTCCCTGCTTCCCATAATACTTACCATCCTACCCCCTTAACACCTTTCACATAATAGAGATAAATCCCAATTAACCAAACCATAAGCTGCAAGGCAGAAGAAGGAAATACATACCACTTATAGCTTCCTGTGCGAAGTATTTGACATCCATGTCTTCATCTTGACCTAATTTCTGTAGTACTGGCTTAACTTCTCCCTGTAAAGCACTGACATTCAAAAATATTATCTGTGAAAGACAATCTAATGGGCCAGAGAAATCCTTTTTGGTGTATATGCTTTATGGTAATTGTTAAAAGTTAAAAAAAACTTTTTTTAACTTGACAAATACACAAAATAATGTCTAAAGAAATTCTCAGCAAAAGTAGCTTCAGACAATGATCTACACATACATAGAGGATAAATATAAAAGTCATAGTGGACATCCTCAAGAATGGTTGCTAAATTATTTTCTTTAAGTAAACCCAGATCTTGGGTAAAGTGAAAATCACTGAACTTAATTTTAGCTAATTACTCCCCACTATATCGTAAAATTTAAAATACACTTTAAAAACAAGACTAAACACTAAAATCTTACCTGGTATCTAGAATTGGTCCAATTTTTTGTAGAGATTTGGCCACATTGAAGCGAACATTTGCTACTTGGTCTCCTGCCATTTTTAATACGATGGGCAGCATGTGCTTAGTGGTTATTTCCTGACCACAGGCCTCAGACAGTGCCTAGCAAAATAAGTAAGACGGCACATTTAAAACACTTAAAAAAAAATTCCAATATCTAATGAGACAAATTAATATTTAATAAGAAAATAATTGACCAATAGGAAAATATTTCTAGTTTGAGCAGCTCAGTGAGGGACACAGGAATCAAACGATCAGAGAATTAGACCAGAATTCACAACTAAATTGCACTTTTAAAATACTGTAGTTTTTTTTTTTTTTTTTAAGACAGAGTTTCACTCTGTCACCAAGCCGGAGTGTAATGGGTGTGATCTTGGCTCACTGCAACCTCCACTCCCTACCCCCACCAGGTTCAAGGGATTCTCCTGCCTCAGCCTCCCCAGTACCTAGGACCACAGGCGCGCACCACCATGCCTGGCTAATTTTTGTACTTTGGAGTAGAGACAGGGTTTCGCCATGTTGACCAGGCTTGTCTCAAACTCCTGACCTCAGGTGATCCACCTGCCTCAGCCTCCCAAAGTGCTGGGATTATAGGCGTGAGCCTCTGTGCCCAGCCAATACTGTAAATTTTCATATGAATTTTAAAATTGGCATTTTCTCTCATCTCCTATTCCAATTAATCAAAACAAGACATATATTCCAAATAGAAGACATTATATTCAGAATTCAGAAATAGTCACGAATAATTTTGCTTTAATGCCTAAGCTTAGCAATAACAGTTATGTTATACTTACGTTAATGCAGAATAAAGTGGTCATTCTATGCAAGTAATTAGGATCATTTGCCATTATTAACACTTTGGGAACGATGGTATTTTGGGCCCACTCTGTACCAAACTTCTGAACTAGTTTCATGAGGTTGTTGGTAGCAGCTTCTCGGATGGCATATACTGAAGAAGAGGTCAAAAGCACATTCTCATATTGCTTATTGTTTTTTAAGCATAACCTAGTTTACTTACATGAACATCAAACGTGGACCAAAAGCAAAACCTCTCTGCAATCAGACTCCACATGTAATCATGCTGCAATGATAAGCATACTGAGCTCCAACTCAGTTTCCAAATGTGCATATCCAAGAGTAAAGGGATGCAAAGAGCTATGTGCATCATCAATTATTTAACAAATACAAGTGCCTACTATGTGCTACAAAAAGAATACAGAAGATACTTTCCCTCACAGGTCATACCTCTTATCAGGGAAATGAAAGCTAACACACTCCATGAAGTCACATGGTGTAAGAGTAATTAGAATGAAGTATGGCAATGTGTAGTAAAGGCTGTGAGGGTTTTAACAGTGCAAAGAAGAGAATAAGGAAGGTCTGGGAAGGTTTCAACAAAGGAAGAAGGCTTGCACTGGGCAGTGAAGATTAGGGAGGATCTATCTAAGTGGAGAGAAGCAGGGAGGAATTCCTAGAAAGGGTAAAGACATGTATCCAGGACACAAAGGGAAAAAACTGAAACCAGAGAGACTTCAAAGTTAGATAATTAGGGTGGACCCAGACCACAGAGCATCTTGAAAGACTCAGAGTTGATGAGAAAAACAGTGATGGGTTTTTAAAGCAAACTTGTGACCTGATGACCAATGTGGAATTTTAGCAAGATTATTCCAGCAACATCACAGAGAACCGATGTTGAGTCAGAAAGACATCAAGGAAATGGTGTAGAGGCCACTGTGGTCATCTATACAACAGCAAATACAAACATCAGACTAATGTGCATTCTTCTCCATTAAAATGCTTAGGTTGAGACAAGATGTCAAATGTCTTTGAATCAATGTGCCTGCCTTAACATCTAATAATTCTCTATAGCCTTTGATAAATTATCAAAGACATAAAGCTAGACAATAAGGGTCAGAGCTACAATCCACTCACAATTAGTTGCTATATACAGCACTGAACAAAGACAAGCCTGGTGTCACTTCACCTTACAGATCCAGTGAGACTCAAAATTTGGGCTTAGATTAACAAATCAAGGGTGGTAGGTACTGATTCCTCAGTCTACTTCTCTCTCCAGGTAGGCCCAACCTTCCTGGGATGATAGGAAGGGCAGGAGTAGCTACCCAAGCCACAGTCCCAGTTGTAGGCAATTTATACAAGCCTCCAATCAAGAAATAGCCAACTTTTTCTATTCGCAGATACTTCAGGGCAATTATGTAGAGAAAAGGCAAGACAGCATAGACAAGTAACCATACAACTGATTATCAACACTTAAACTGACAGTCTATGGGAGAAGCAACCTGTCAGTAATACTCAGAAGCACTAAGGAGCAAATTCAAGTCAACTGTTTAACTGTAATACAGGTTCCTTCCCTTCATATCCATAGTCTTTGTCTTTGGCCCAAACCCTTCCCTGTCCTTCCCTCTAAGGTAGAGCTAGCTAGAGAATTTGTGTCTTTTCCTCTAATTACTTTTTTTTTGAGACAGAGTCTCACTCTGTTGCCCAGGCGGGAGTATTGTGGCGAGATCTCGGCTCACTGCAACCTCCACCTCCCAGGTTCAAGCAGTTCTCCTACCTCAGCTTCCTGAGTAGCTGGGATTACAAACACCCATCAACACACCCTGCTAATTTTTGTATTTTTAGTAGAGACAGGGTTTCACCATGTTGGCCAGGTTGGTCTTGAACTCCTGACCTCAAGTCATCCGCCCACTTCAGCCCCCCAAAATGCTGGGATTGTAGGCATGAGCCACCATGCCCAGCAAATTACTACTTTTTTTTTTTAACATTCTTTAGATTTTTATCATAATGTCACTACCATAGAAATGGATTTTACTGCCAGAACCAGAAACTGGGCACACACACACATAGCCTTGACTAACTGCACTAAACTCTACTTGGCCAGGTGCCTACTATGTTCTTGGCTCATCTGAAGTCTGTTTTCAGAAGAATGCAGACCATTCCACAGTCCTGCCTGTTTTCTTTTGTCTGTTTCTTTCTCTTTCTCTCTCCCCATTTCCCCTCAACCTGGCTGATCTGCAAAGTTTCTTTGAATGTCTATGCTCACTGATACTTACTCCTTTCTCCTGTAATAAATAAATATCTACACTCCTCCCTCTGATTAAAACTGTCTACTCAACCACAGGAATACAGGTGAGTGACACTTTCTTCCTTATATGTCTCTGGAATTTTTACAATGTTCTTTTAGTAGTTTCATAACTAGGAAAAGAGTTTCAAAAACTCTAACTGATCCAGTGATCACTATATAACACTTATCTGAAAAGCAAAAGCAAAAAAAGTTCCTGTGATTAATTAGGCACAGGACAATTTCAGAGCTGTTATTTCATTGGTTCATGGAACTCCTGGAGAAACCACTTCAGCATGCTGCTGCAGTGAAATAAACAAGGGTTTCTCCTGCTCCCAAACCGAAAGAGAAAATCAGAAAAGAGGAAGGAGTAATCAAGTTGCACACAGAAAGCAATCTTACAGAGAAAGGGTATCAGGAATCTAATTCTTTGTGGAATATCAGAACTTTAAAAATTCCTCAAAATAAAACACAATCTTAATCTAAAATGCCAATTTTTAAAGAAAGCACAGAATGACTTGGAACCAACCCAAATGCCCATCAATGATAGACTGGATAAAGAAAATGTGGCACATATACAGCATGGAATACTATGCAGCCATAAAAAAAGAATGAGTTCATGTCCTTTGCAGACACATGGATGAAGCTTGAAGCTATCATTCTCAGCAAACTAACACAGGAACAGAAAACCAAACACTGTATGTTCTCATTCCTAAGTGGGAGTTGAACAATGAGAACATATGGGGCACAGGGAGGGGAACATCACACACTGAAGCCTGTCAGGGGATGAGGAACTAGGGAAGGGAGAGTATCAGGACAAACAGCTAATGCATGTGGTGCTTAAAACCTACATGGCAGGTTTATAGGTGCAGCAAACCACCATGGCACATGTTTACCTAGGTAAAAAAAAAACCTACCTGCACGTTCTGCACATGTATCCCAGAACTTAAAGTGAAAAAAAAAAAAAAAAAAAAGCATAGAATGATCTGCTAGGACACATCATTCCCCAGTAACATTAAGTATTTATCAGACATAACATAGACATTTTTAAAAAAGTTATTTCTTTCCTATGATTTGCCAAATTTAAGTTTTATTAAAAAAAAAAAAAAAATAGGCCACAAGATAACTTTAGAAAAGAAAAAGAGAAAAAAGTCTTTACAATCCAGTTTGAAAACACTGGAAATACCCACATATATAAGCCCTTATAGATTGTCACCTATTTTTTCACATCCTTCCTCTTCACACTCTTAACCATGTGATCCTCCATATGATGCAAATATGCCTTTAACAAAACCACCTACATGTATACGCAGACACAAATATCCTCATTCCTCTCAAATTTCCAAGCATTAAGCATCCACAGATGAACAAAGAGATACATTCAATACATATGTAAAGTACATAAAAGATACTGTGAAACTGAATCAGGATACCTCTCATATCCACCAAAACAAGGAACCAAAGCTCAAGGGCAATGTCGCATGAGCCCCTGGGGTCACTTACACTTATCAGAACAGGTCTAAGGCAACACTGAAGCTGTCAAGTCTAGACCTGAGACCTGGCACAGAGGGTACATCTCTCACCCACTGCTGCTTGGCACACAAGGGGATACATGCATATACCTCTACCTGAAGCCTCACCAGGAAGTCACCTGCTCATTCCTGCTGTCCTATCTGACCTGCCCGAGCTCACCCTCTCCTAGCATTGTAGCAGCAGTGAGGGCACAATCAGTAAGGCTTCCTTTCACCAAAACCAGAAATCCAGGCCCTCTCTATTCCTATGGCAAAGCTAATGTTTCCCACACCTAAGACTCCTCTGCTGTCTCACTGTGTATCTCCTCTTCTATGTCACCTCAAAAAAGCCAAGTGGCCATTTCTCCCACCTAGGCCTCTTATCTGATTCGTCTCTGTCCAATCTAGTGTACAGCTGCTGAAGACACCAATTACAGGATGGTCAAAAAGAGGATCCTCAGATACGGGAGGAGTACGTAGATATATAAAAGAAATGGTCTGATTTCTTTTAATGTAATAGATTAAGAAATAATGCAAATAAATTATTTAATGGAGAAAATAAAATCTAAGATACAAAAAAATTGGTAGAAATATCAAATTTATATTCAGAAGACTACTTTAGAGCCTTTCTTCATTCCTATATTAAGTCAAAATACCTGGTCAGACTGAGATTCCTTTCTAGAAGGAAATGAACATCATGGATATACGGGATTTCAATTATTTGTTTTTATCTACTCACCATGGTCCACGAGCCAAGCCATACATAAAGAATTCAGCTTCTCATCGAAGAATTCCACACCCTACAGATACAGAAGATTCCATTAATATACATTGTCAAATTCAGAAATAAAGATGGTCTATTTATACACCAAGTTTACCTAAAGGCTAAAAAAACTGTTTCCAAATAAACTGAATTCATTAAAGAGACAGAAAGGAAACACCAAAGGATTCATAAACAAACCATAAATCTATTTTATTGGATAGAAATCATAAACAAAAAAAAAAGCATAGGTGAGCTGGCCTAGGCCCTGCTAGGTAAAAGAGAACAGGGTGGCCAGAAGCCAGCCATGACACTGTAAAAGAGTAGGAAGAACGCACCGTGGATGGTCTGCCAAGCAAAATCTGGATTACCCATAAAAATGAATTACCAGGAAAAGACCTGTCAGTAATATTATTAATTCGCAATTGTCTTCCTGTTTGGTTACTATCATAACAAATCCTTAAAGATAAAGCAACTGACCTCAAGACAGAGATATCCCCAATTAGAGTATTTTTGAAACAACAGGTAAAAGCCCTGGAGGGAGAATAAAGCATGCCCAGGACTACAGGAAATGTGGCTCAGGCATGGCTTGCTCCCCCAGCCCTGTTCCTCTTGACTGTCAAAAGGTGGCCACTTCAGTGCAGGCTGGGGATGGGCTCCCGGAGCGGATTTACAGCCCTCTTACCCTGGGGCTTTTACACCACATGGGAGAATGCTGTGATAGTGCCTTCCTTCTGGGGTCTACATGTTTATGGTCTTGCTTCTTTGAACTCTAAGAAGTTCCTGACTGGTGATTCTATATTTTAAATAGAGAGGTAATATAATGTTTCAGTACTTTGAAAATAGTGATTGAATAAAACAAAATAGCTTTTTTTTTTTTTGAGACCAAGTTTCATTATATTGCCCAGGCTGGAGTACAATGGCGCAACTCAGCTCACTGCAACCTCTGCCACCCGGATTCAAGCAATTCTCCTGCCTCAGCCTCTCAAGTAGCTGGGATTACAGGCATGAAGCACATGCCCAGGTAATTTTTGTATTTTTAGTAGAGACAGGGTTTCACCATGTTGGTCAGGCTGGTCTCTAACTCCTGACCCCGGTGACTGGTCCACCTCAGCCTCCCAAAGTGCTGGGATTGCAGGCATGAGCCACTGCGCCTGGCCCAAAATAGTTTGGTATTAAAAGATCATTATGAACAAATCTTGGCATACACTTAGATTACATCAGCCAAGGTTTTTTTTCATTTCAGGTTGCGAATTTTCCTTCAGTTTTAATTAATCTTTATTTTCCAGTTTTTTGTTGTTGTTGTTGGTGGTGGTGTTTTTGCGACGCAATGTCTCTCTGTCACCCAGGCTGGAGTGCAGTGGCATGATCTTGGCTCACTGCAACCTCTGCCTCCTGGGTTCAAGCAATTCTCCTGCCTCAGCCTTCAGGGTAGCCTCCCAAGTAGCCTCCCAAGTAACAGGCACCCACCACCATACCTGGCTAATATTTTGTATAGTAGAGATGGGGTTAAACCATTTTGGCCAGGCTGGTCTCAAACTCCTGACCTCAGGTGATCCACCTGCCTCAGCATCCCAAAGTGCTGGTATTACAAGCGTGAGCCACTATGCTGGGCCTATTTTCCGGTTTTTGTAGTTTAACTTTGCACTTACTTACCATGGTCCACAAGCCAGGTCATACCTAAAGTCTTGAGAGAATTTTATAAATTTACTATTTGATATAAAAATATTTAGAGATAAAGAAAAATTAAGAAGAATATATACACTAGCAAGAAGTTGAAATTGTAAAACAAAATGTTCATGACTGAGGCATGTCACCCCTGACAGACAGGTTATAAGTCAGCCAAAGACACCATCTGCCTTGCTTTCACACTGCTCTCTATAGAGCTAGCAACCCTGGGAAACTTTCCAGGTCTAGAAGGAGCAGAGGTTAAAAGAAATGGTAGTAAAATGCACCCTCCCTTCCAGACAGTTTTGGTCTTTAGCAAATCAGTTAACCACTGCTCCTCTACACTCTGGAGAGTAGATCCATGGCAATCACCTGTGAAGAGATGATGACCCATAGCACTTGGGAGTGACAGAGGAAAAGGATGACAAAATAACTTCACTTGATCCCATTAGCTAGGCACTAATATCTCTGGCATCCTTTCAAAGAATGAGACACTTTAAATTTTATAAAACATATAACGCCACAGACATCCACAAAATGCATGTTCATAAACTAAACATACTAAAATTAACAATACAAATTCCAGAGATCAAGAAAAGAAAAAATAAATTCCATATGCTGTGACCTGAAAGGAATGGGAATGAGGAAGGGAAAACAAACTGTAGTATAAACTGACACAGCTTTCTCAAAAAATACTCAACAATCAACAAACGTTGGCCATGCACAATGGCTGATGCTTATAATCCCAGCTACTCAGGAGGCTGAGGCAGGAGGATCATTTTGAGGCCACGAGTTTGAGACCACCCTAGATAGTAGGAATGGGAAATAAAATACAGTCCCTGTCCTTAAAAGAGATCACCCATCTCCCCAGATAGACTGTAGCAGACAGTTATAATACTCTGTAGTAAGTGTGCTACCAACAGGATAAAAGTGCATCAAACTTAGAACTGTCTAGGCCACCTACACAAAAAAAAGGGAAGAAGTGGCTATAAAACCCAGCTTTGAAATTTTAACTAACACGGTATTAGGGTAGAACTAAACATGAAACCCAAATAGTAACAGATAATGTGAGAATGTGGACTCTGACTAAAATACTAACATTACAAGCTTCAGTGCTCCTTTTATTTTTTGTTTTTTTCTTTGACACGAAGTCTCACTCTGTTGCCCAGGCTGGAGTGCAGTGGTGTGATCTTGGCTCTCTGCAACGTCTGCCTCCTGGGTTCAAGCGATTCTACTGCCTCAGCCTCCTGAGTAGCTGGGATTACAGGTACGTGGATTACAGGTACGTGCCTCCACGCCCAGTTAATTTTTGTATTTTTAGTAGAGATGGGGTTTTACCATGTTGGCCAGACTTGTCTGGAATTCCTGGCCTCAAGTGATTCGCCTGCCTTGGCCTCCCAAAGTGCTGGGTTTACAAGTGTGAGCCATCAGGCCCAGCCTTTCAATACTTCTTTTCTATATGATGACTCCTCAACTCCCTTTAATCAGAATGTAGGTAAAGCGGCACCGAGGGACATTTTGCTTAGAATACAAGGCAAACAGCAAAGTTTCCTTGAGCAAAAATCACGGCAGACTCACCCTAAAACCATAATCCCTTTTCTTCTCAGTTAAATATTTAAGTCGCAAAGGCATTAAATATGATAAAATTTACATTATATATACCAAGAAACTGATCTTACTATTCTATGGCTTTGTTTTTTGGTGGTGGTAAGATAAAATATGTTTCTGTAATACAGGCTGAGGATCCCAAATCCAAAAATCCAAAATGTGAAATGCTCTGAAATTGAAAACTTTTTTTTTTTTTTTGGGACGGAGTTTCGCTCGTTACCCAGGCTGGAGTGCAATGGCGCGATCTCGGCTCACCGCAACCTCCGCCTCCTGGGTTCAGGCAATTCTCCTGCCTCAGCCTCCTGAGTAGCTGGGATTACAGGCACGCGCCACCATGCCCAGCTAATTTTTTGTATTTTTGGTAGAGACGGGGTTTCACCATGTTGACCAGGATGGTCTCGATCTCTTGACCTCGTGATCCACCCGCCTCGGCCTCCCAAAGTGCTAGGATTACAGGCTTGAGCCACCGCGCCCGGCCTCGAAAACTTTTTGAATGACAATATGATGCTCAAAGGAAATGTTAATTGGAGCATTCTAGACTTTGAATTTTTGAATTTGGGATGCTCAAAGAGTAAGTATATATAATGCAAATATTCCAAAATCCACTTCTGGTCCCAAACATTCTGGTCCCAAGCATATTTAGATGAGTGATACTCAACCTGTACTTTTTTGTTAGAAATGTATGCACTAATAGGCAAGCCACAGTGGCTCACGCCTGTAATCCAGTACTTTGGGAACCAAGGCGGGTGCATCACCTGAGGTCAGGAATTCAAGATCAGCCTGATGAACATGGTAAAACCTCATCTCTACTAAAAATACAAAACTAGCCGGGTGTGGAGGCACATTCCTATAATCCCAGCTACTTGCCAGGCTGAGGCAGGATAATCAGTTAAACTTAGGAGGTGGAGGTTGCAGTGAGCCGAGTTTGCACGACTGCACGCCAGCCTGGGCAACAAGAGTGAAACTCCATCTTAAAAAAAAAAAAGGAATTTATGCACTAATAAAAATAAAAGCCATCCCATAGGCAACAAGAACAAGGCCATACTTTCATGCATCTAAATAAACATAATCATAAAGGCTACTAGGCCTCTGACGTGCCATGGTAAATTGTCACTATTTAACGCTACCCTGCAGTTCATGGAGGAATACACACTCACCAGCTGGCCTGCCAGCAGTGGCATATACTCAATGATAGCCAGCCGGACCCTCCATTTGGCATCTTCAGCCAGCTCCACTATGGCAGGAAGGAGAGACTGAGAGAGCTGACGAATTCCAATGACTTCATTTACACAATCCAAATTGGAGATGATATTCAAACGAACTTCAGGACACTGCAAGTACACAAGCCACAAATGACCACATATAAAAATCAAGTCGTCTGCCCAACAGTCTCCTGTCAGGATAAGATACAAACTGCTAAGTAAGTTTTAAAATTAGAAAATATTGACTCAAGTGAAAAAAATGGATAGTCTTGAAGAAAGAATACTGAGTACATAAATAATTCAAGGAACACAAGTGATCTTAATCAGAAATTTCAATTAAAAGTCTGCAAGACTAAAGACTATGAGAAAAGTCTCTAAGATGGTAAAGAGCATAAACTCTGGAATTAAATCAGATGCACTCAAATTTCAGATCTGTCACTGCTGAAAGATCTTGCTCAAGTTACTTTTACCCTCTGTACCTCAGCTTCCTCATCTGTAAAATGGGATAATAATAATAAGCCCTACCTCATAGGATTGTTTTGAGCATTACATGTAAAAATACATGCAAAGCACTAAGGATCGTGCCTGGCACATAGTAATTACTCAGTGAATATTAGGTATCATTATAATTTTTGGTACTATATTTAAACTTTTTTTTTTTTTTTTTTTTTTTTTGAGACGGAGTTTCACTCATGTTACCCAGGCTGGAGTGCAATGGCGCGATCTCGGCTCACCACAACCTCCGCCTCCTGGGTTCAGGCAATTCTCCTGCCTCAGCCTCCTGAGTAGCTGGGATTACAGGCACGCGCCACCACGCCCAGCTAATTTTTTGTATTTTTAGTAGAGACGGGGTTTCACCATGTTGACCAGGATGGTCTCGATCTCTTGACCTCATGATCCACCTGTCTCGGCCTCCCAAAGTGCTGGGATTACAGGCTTGAGCCACCGCGCCCGGCCACTATATTTAAACTTAAATTAAAAAAACTTTTTAAACAAAGACACATTAGCTATAAAGGAACCAGTGAGTATAAAGCAAAAATCAGGTAAAGATGATAAATAGACATTTCTAGATTTACTTTAATGAGTCCTTGTGACCACTTTCTGAGGAACCTATAACCCCATACCCAAAATCACAGGTGTTGTCATTGGTTTAAAGGAAGTTACGCTTTTTTTATCCATTTCCTTTTTGGGGGTTCTATTTTAGTGAAACCCCAAACCAAAATCAAATCAAATAAAATTACTATCAAGGGCAACAGAACATAAAGCAAGACTCACCTCGTCCTTTAACTGAGCTAAAAAAAGAGGTAGAAGATGTTCAATGGTATTCTCTTTGCCCACAATAGTAGACAATCCCATAATTACAGAAGCTAGGGCCGATTTGACATGTTGACTGGTATCAGATACTAATTCCTAAAATAAAATTAAATTTGACATGTTGACTGGTATCAGATACTAATTCCTAAAATAAAGTCAAAATTAAAAGCCTTTATTACAAGACAACAGAAACTTCCATACCATTTCCCAAGGACGTATTATTTATTTACTTATTCTGGGAGACAGAGCCTTGCTCTGTTACCCAGACTGGAGTGCAGTGGCGTGACCTTGGCTCACTGTGGCCTCAACCTCCCTAGCTCAAGCACTTCAGCCTCCAGAGTAGCTGGGTCTACAGGCATGCACCACCAGGCATGGCTATTTCTTTTTATTTTTTGTAGAGACTGGTTCTCGCTATATTGCCGGGGCTGGTCTTGAACTCCTAGGTTCATGTAATCCTCTCGCCTTGGCCTCCCAAAGTGCTGGGATTACAGTTGTGAGCCACTACACCAGCCTGATTTTTTTTTCTTTTTGGGACAGTGTGTCACTGTCACCTAGGCTGAAGTGCAGTGGCATGATCATAGCTCACTATCATCTCAACCTCCTGGGCTCAAGTAATCCTCTCACCTCAGACTCCAAGTAGCTGGTACTACAGATACATGCCACTAGGCCCAACTAATTTTCATATTTTTTGTAGAGATGGGGTCTCACTGTGTTGCCCAGGCTGGTCTAGAACTCCTGGGCTCAAGAAATCCTCCCACCTCAGCCTCCCAAAGTGCTTGGATTACAGGCATGTGACACCATACCCAATCCCAAGGAATTTAAAGACAGCACTATTTCAATATTGATTAATTGATAATGTTTCCTCAGACTACCTGTTAGGTAACATAAACCTATGCACCAAAGAGCATTTTATAATTATAATAGGTTAATAAGTAATAAACAACAATGTCACACGTTAACATATCTTCCCCATTCATTCTTTGTCAACACCTTTAAACTCAAAGAACTTTAAGGTAAGCAAATTGAGATTAAGGTTTACCTTCATATAAATCAGAGTGAAAGAAAATAAACTGAAGTCAGGTTTACCTTTATATAGGGCAGAATTTGATTCATAATTATGGTCTCTCTATCTTCAATGGGCAAGTTCTCACAAAGTTCTGAAAGATAAATAGGAAAAAAAAATGTTTTCACAGGGCCATTTACAAAGAGCCAAATAAGGACATTTAACCAGACTTATCAACAATTTCAATTTAATTCATGTTAAAGCAAGTAAGGAAAATAGCTCGTGTTCTAAATACACTTTTTCGTGAATCTCTATGCCACTGCGTACCACACCAATCCAACTGAAAAGGCATTTTTTTTTCATAAAAACAATACAAAATGATTTATTGGTTTTAAATATAAAGGGAGTATTTTTATGTGACAACGTGGCATTCCACACACTGAAAGCATCCCTATGCATTTTTAAAACATATTCTAGAACAAAAACATGCAAAATTCACTAGCAAAAAAAAATGCACCAAAATGAATGACACATGTTCCAACATAAATTGAACTCCTTAACCTTTTACTTTGTGGGCAGCAGCTGCCCGGACTTCAGCTTCACAGTCTTTAAGTAGGTTCTGAAAGGCGGGGACGAGGTCATTTAGGGTGATTTTAGGACCCACAGCTTTCTGGAGCTATAAAAGAATTTAAATGGATTTTAATGTACACCAACAAAATAATTAACAAGAACAAAACAAAATTGTGCAATCTTTTAAGTATTTTTGCCACAGCACATTCCATTGAAAAAAATATTCAGAAACTTTGGATAAAACAGCATATCTATAGGTTTCCAGGTTTATTTCCTTAGTACTTAAAAATGATCATTTTACCTCTGAAAATTTGTCAGCTACCATATAGCGAACTCGCCAAGATTTATCTTCTGCTGCTTGTCGAAGTGCAGGCATCACCAAGGTCTCAACGTCATCCTGAGACAATAGCTGGGCAATACTGACACAAGCTTCCACAGCTAGGAGGCGCACTGAATCCTAAAGGAACAAAATTTCTATAAATCAGACATTTATTGAGATCTATGGGAACTGTTGCGGGGTGGTGCAGCTGTTCAAAAAAAACTACCACGACAAACACCACATCTTATATAGTTTCATGTCTTTATACTGTTTTTTTTTTTTTTTTTTTTTTTTTGAGACAGGGTCTCACTCTGTCACCCTGATTGGAGTACAGCGGTGCAATCTCAGCTCATTGCAACCTCCACATCCCAGGCTCAAGCGATTCTCCTGCCTCAGGCTCAAGTGATTTTCTTGCCTCAGCCTCCCGAGTAGCTCGGATTACAAGTATGCGCCACCACGCCAGGCTAATTTTTGTATTTTTAGTAGAGATGGGTTTTCACCATGTTAACCAGGCTGGTCTTGAGCTCCTGACCTCAAATGATCCACCGGCCTCCGCCTCCCAAAGTGCTGGGATTACAATTGTGAGCCACCATGCCTGGCCATGTCTTTACATCTTGAAGGAGCTGCTCCCTTTGCCTGGAATGGCATGTCGAAGTCATTAAGATAGAAATGACTTTGTACAATGAGTAAACAATGAAGTAATTACCTTGGCTAGAATGCAGAGTTTTAGGAGGAAAAGGAAAATAAAAATTTAAAAATTAAGTGGAAAAAAAATTTTAATGATGCCTTCAAAGCCCTACTATAATAGGAAGTTGAGGGATAAAAATGAAAAGAATACTTGTACAAGTTATTTATAACAGATTAGTGCAAAGGTAGAGAATAAGGATAAAGGAAATCACTTAGGAAGCTCAGTTTTCAAAACACTCGGACCAGGGTGGCAGTAACAGGAGTGCAGGCAGCATAAAACGATGACTTGGGAAGAAATACACAGAACAATTGAAACTTAGAAATCAGAAACAAAAATCAGTTGGATTTAAATGTTAAAGATCAAGGATAGAATAACTTTTGAGGAAGCTGTGGCTAGAAAACACAGAAATTAGAAAAGTATGAGATTAGTGAACTTAGCTTTCCAAATGTAAACAGCCAATGTCATCGTGACACCTATTTCCTTTGAGCAAGTGGAAAATACACAATTAAGACAAATCAATGAGGGGCCTGGTGCGGTAGCGCACCCTGTAATCCCAGCACTTTAGGAGGCTGAGGTGGGCAAATCACCTGAGGTCAGGAGTTCAACACCAGCCTGGCCAACATGGTGAAACCCTGTCTCTACTAAAAATACAAACATTAAAAAAAAGAAAAAGAAAAAAGGCCGGGCGTGGTAGCTTACTCCTGTAATCCAAGCACTTTGGAGTCCAAGGCGGGCAGATCACCTGAGGACGGGAGTTCAAGACCAGCCTGACCAACATGGTGAAACCCCATCTATACAAAAAAAAAAAAGAAAGAAAGAAATACAAACATTAGCTGGGCATGGTGGTAATCCCAGCTACTCAGGAGGCTGAGGCAGCAGAATCGCTTGAACCGGAGAGGTGGAAGCTCCAGTTAGCCGAGATTGCACCACCGCAAGACTCCATCTCAAAAAAATAAAAAAGACCGATCAATGAGAAATTAGAAACTGAGACTGTAGATTTATATATTATACCATATAGGTGGAATCTTAAAACATGTAAACATTAGAACCCAGGAGAAATAGGCCAAAAATTTTAAGTGTGTACAATAAGTTATGTATATACACACACATATACTTGAGAGACATAAAGGTAACTCTAACTTCCAAAATATTACATAACTTAAAAACTGTGTATCAGCAATAACTGACTATATGCCAAAGACACACACACTCCTCTGTATGCAAGCATACAGGCTAAAAAAGACAGGACTATGTTCTTGGTAGTGATTACACAGATATTTTTGGATTTCGAAAACGATGGCTAAAGCATCGGACTGCTAATCAACTACTGAAATATAAGCTAATACATATTTGTTAAAAAATTACTTCTGGCCAGGTGTGATGGCTCACGCCTATAATCCCAGCACTTTGGGAGCCCAAGGCAGGTGGATCACCTGAAGTCAGGAGTTCAAGACCAGCCTGACCAACATGAAGAAACACTGTCTCTACTAAAAATACAAAATTAGCCGGATGTGGTGGCACATGCCTGTAATCCAAGCTACTCAGGAGGCTGAGGCAGAACTGCTTGAACCCGGAAGGCAGAGGTTGTGGTGAGCCAAGATCACGCAATTGCACTCCGGCCTAGAAAACAAGAGCAAAATGCCATCTCGAAAAAAAATGTTTTTAATTACTTCTCTGGCTGAGCGTGGTGGCTCATGGCTGTAATCCCAGCACTTTGGGAAGCCGAGGTGGGCAGATCACAAGGTCAGGAGTCCAAGACTAGCCTGGTCAACATAGTGAAACCCCATCTCTACTAAAAACACAAAAAAAAATTAGCCAGGCATGGTGGCAGGCACCTGTAATTCCAGCTACTCAGGAGGCTGAGGCAGGAGAATTGCTTGAACCCAGGAGGCGGAGGTTGCAGTGAGCCAAGATCTTGCCATTGCACTCCAGCCTGGGTGTTAAGAGTCAAACTCCGTCTCAAAATAAAAAATTACTTCTCATCCAGAACTTCTGTTTTTCTCTCCTATACCTATTTCTCCTCCCAGAATTTTCTCCATCTTAATGATGATACCACCCTTCACCCAGTTACTCAAGCAAAAAATCTAGATCTTGATTCCTCTACCCACCATCCAATCCAATAGTAGTAAGTCCTATTGATCCTGACATCCAGATCCTTTCCATCTTTACTACTGCCATCCTATTACCATCATCATCTCATGCTGAGACTTGAAATGTGGCTGGTATACATTATTTATTCACAAATAATTTTGGAAATTTTTGGTTGAATACAAACATTGTTAATTTCACCTATTTCTTTTTACATATATATATATATATATATATATATATATATGTACATAAATTTTTTTTCTTTTTTTTTTATTAAGATGGGGTTTCACCATGATGGCCAGGCTGGTTTTGTACTCCTGACCCCAGGTGATCCACCCACCTAGGCCTCCCAAAGTGCTAGGATTACAGGCGTGAGCCACCACGTCCGGCCTGTTTCTTTTTACTTTTAAAAATATGGCCACTGAACTCAATTCAGGAATTCACAGAAAAATAAAAAATAAAAACATGGCTAGTAGAAAACTTAAAATTAACAGATATCTTACATTATATTTCTGTTGAACAGCATTGTTTTAAGCTGTAATGTTTGGGTAACAGAAGTGCAAAGAAGGCTGGGCACAGTGGCTCATTCCTGTAATCCCAGCACTTTCGGAGGCTGAGGCAGGCAGATCATGAGGTCAAGATATCGAGACCATCCTGGTCAACATGGTGAAACCCCATCTCTACTAAAAATACAAAAATTAGCTTGGCATGGTAGCACATGCCTATAGTCCCAGCTACTCGGCAGGCTGAGGCAGAAGAATCACTTGAACCCAGGAGGGGGAGGTTGCAGTGAACCAAGATCGCAGCACTGCACTTCAGCCTGGCAACAGAGCAAGACTCCGTCTGAAAAAAAAAAGTGCAAAGAAAACTAACGAGGTGCTTACTATAAAAGTCAGGATAATGTTACTCTTAAGGAAGTATGGAATGGCAAGTGGAGGAGGAAAAGATTGTGTTTGAAACGAAATCCATGGAGGGATTCTGGGGTAGGGGCTGTCAAAGTGATGTCTCCTAACATAGGTGACAGTTAACAAGTTGGTATTACCTTATAATAGTTCAATAAGTTGCACATTTATTTTGTGTTGTTTACTATATGTTATTCTAATAAATTTTTTAAATTATTTTGAAAACAGGATTTAGAGCTTTAGATTTAGGATCTGAAAATGAGACTCATTAATATGTGTCCTGGTGCTTGTGGTCCTGTACATAAGAAATGATCTTAGGGCAGACAACATGCAAACTAAAGACTCTTCTAGAGTCCAGGAACTCTGGGAGCTAGCTGTGAAGGACACAAATTCTGGGGCCAAACCACCTAGATTCAAATCCTGACTCTACTACTGCTAACTGTGCAGCCTTGAGCAGGTTATTTAAACTTTGTGTGCCTTTGTTTTCTAATGTGTAAAATGGGCTATCTCATGGGCTGTTGTAAGGACTGAATTACTTAATACACAAAACTACTTAGAGGCAGAAAAAAATTAAGTATTTAATTTAGATATTTGCTAGTTTTATTGTTATTTCTACATCGAAGAGATCTAGATCTTCAGAATTAAATACTATTATGTGAAGTAATCCCATGCACTACTATACAGGAAGCAGAGGGTCAGATAGCTTTCCTAACACATTCTAAGCTTACTTATCTGAAAAGTCAAAAATTCTAGGAAACATTACTCCCTCATACTACAATACAGCCAGCAATTCCCAAAGGTATGTTATGCCTCTATGGAGCTTTGGTGTTCCTTTCTAATTATGGCTCCTATTTCCTCTCTGACTCCCTCTTCTTTTAACAGCTGCTAATGTAAGAGAGAAACCATAGTCTGGTTAAGAAAGAAACATAAGAACATTGAGATGAGCACGTTACACTTTAACCAGACCAGAATAAGCACGAATTCTGCAAAAAGAATCCTAACAAGAAAACCAAAACTCCCCAAAGAAATTCTGAACATTTAGGGGAAAGGAGCATATCTGTGCCCTTTAAATACTAAGAGCCAGTTTACCTGTTCATCTGAAGCTAGATTAGTGAACAATGGAACAATTTCACTTTTCACACTGTCTAATTCCAAAACTTTTGCAAATTCACCCAATTTGGAAGCAGCAGCACGTCGTACCATTGGTGTGTCATCTGAGCACAAGGAACGGAAGTGCCTGCAACATAAAGCAATGAACATATTTCCCATCAAATAACACTGACTAAGCCTGCCCCAACACACACAGACTTTTAACAGTTTTATCTTACAATACTTAGTTATTGGGCTTCTACTCATCGAAGTAATGAAAATAAAACATATTCAACTGGATGATAAAAAAATGACATCATAGGCCAGGCATGGTGCCTCGCACCTGTAATCTCAGCACTTTGGGAGGCCCAGGTAGGATGGCTTGAAGCCAGGAACTGAAAGAAGACTGAGCAACAGAGCAAAACTCTATCTCTACCCCAAAAATACTTTTTTTGTTGGGGGAACTCAAGTGATCCTCCCACCTCAGCCTCCTGAGTAGCTAGGAATACATTCAAATCCTGAATATATTCAAGTTAGGATTTGAATATATTCCTAGGTGCATACCACCATGCCCAGCTAATTTTTTTTTTTTAGTAGAGACGAGGTCTCAGTATGTTACTCAACCTGGTCTTGGCCTTTTGAACTCAAGCAATCCTCCCAACTCAGCCTCTCAAAGTGCTGGGATTCCAAGAACAAGCCACTGCACTCAGCCAGAAAAGTTTTTTAAAAACTAGCCAGGAGCACTGGTGCATGTCTATAGTTCTAGCTACCTGGGAGGCTGGGGCTGGAGGATCACTTAAGCACAAGAATTTAAGGTTGCAGTAAGCTATGACTGCACCATCATGCTCCAGCCTGAGCAACAAAGCAAGACCTTATCTCTTAAAAAAAAAAAAAAAAAAAAAAAGGATATCAGCCAGGCATGGTGGCTCACGCCTGTAATCCAAGCACTTTGGAGGCCAAGGCGGGTGGATCACCGGAGGTCGGGAGTTCAAGACCAGCCTGACCAACATGGTGAAACCCCGTCTGTAAAAAAAAAATAAATAAAAAAGATATCATAAATCCTGCTACCACAGTATCAGCCACGCACTGATAACAAGGTACTGTGTAAATTGTCAATTACAAGTCCCCAGTAATCCCAAATAACTCAAAAAAATACCATAGCTTACTGTCTAATATCTGCTTTAACAGCATTTGATGCCCTGGGATAGCAAACGCTGAACAAACCACATGCAGACGTGCGAGAGGTAAACCAATCCCCACTTGCTAGGCGTTTCACCAGAGGTACAAAATAAGCTTCCAGGGCAACAGGAGTATGCTCCTGGGAGATCTGTCTCAGGGACTCCACAGCTCTGTCACGAACAACAGTCTCTTCCACAGTCGCCAGATTTTCCAAAGGAGGCTGAACGGATTAAAAAAGAAAACCAGAGAAGAAAACTTATTGAATCAGGTTAGAAACAGATTATCACCTTTTACAGTGAGTGAAGGGAGGTGATACACGTAACCAGAATGTTAGCTGTATCACACCAAATGGTTACTTTCAGCTCACACAGTGATAACATATGGTGCAGACAACCCTAAGACACGACTTCTATAGAAAAGCCAAAATCTCATGTCCCAGATGGCAATTCCCAGATGGTGTCTACAAATGACACAGTGTAAGAGACTTGACACAATATTAATATTACCGTGAGCTGAATCACTAGGTTTAAAAGATATATAGCCAAATTCAGACAGGATCATGTGTATTTCCTCAAGAGTAAGTACAAAAACATGATCAACACTGGACACCACATTTACAGGATAACAGCTTGTCAGGTCACTGAGTCCACAGCCTTTCAGTATTCCCAGAGGTGCAAGCAACCCTTATCCACCATCTCCATGCCATCCTTTTTATCCAACCTATAAAATGCTGAGTACAAAATTGCTTTTTTCAGAACACATTCAGCAACTTTCCATTAGCCATAGGGCAGGAGTTTCTGACAGAACAATCAACTGAAAACTACAGAGATGGCCAGGTACAGTGGCTCACACCTATAATTCCAGCCCTCAGGAGGCAGAGGTGGGCAGATCACGTGAGGTCAGGAGTTCGGGACCATCCTGGTCGACATGGTGAAACCCTGTCTTTACCAAAAAATACAAAAAATCAGCTGGGCGTGGTGGCGCGTGCCTGTAATCCCAGCTACTCAGGAGGCTGAGGCAGGAGAATTGCCTGAACCCAGGAGGCAGAGGCTGTGATGAGCCCAGATCACGCCATTGCACTCCAGCCTGGGTAACAAGAGCAAAACTCTGCCTAAAGAAAAAAATTAGCCAGACAGGGTGGTGCAAATCTGTAATCCCAGCTACTCAGGAGTCTGAGGCATGAGAATTGCTTGAACTCAGGAGGTTGCAGTGAGCCGAGATTGTATCACTGCACTTAGGCCTGGGTGACAGATGACAGAGACTCTGTTTCAAAAAAAAAAAAAAAAGTAAAGTACAGAGATGGTAGAACATCTTGCTTACAGCTTTAGAAATAGAAGAGGCCAAAGCAGGTAGATGATCTGGATTAGGATCAGTAACTGAATATGGCATGGCCTAGTAAAAAGCATAAACAGGCTGGCTCTCTGAACCTCTGCCTTACTGAGTTTGCATGTAATCCAGGTAGAGCCTATACATGCCATGAGCTACAAATTTTAAAGCATAAAACCCACCTGTAGAACTAACCAAGAGTGAAATAGAAGCATAATGAGTTATTAGTTATCTAATAATACATTCTGAAAATTGTTGGACACAGGTAGACAGTATTCAGCTTTCCTACAGGGTATTTCCTACAGAAACCCATTGAAAAGATACTGTTTTTCACTTGCCAAGGCCTTTCATGATCTGTCCCCCGCCTACTGTAATCCCCTCTCATGCAGTACCACTGGATAATTGCTGTCACTATTACAGGATGAGGCCATGGTCCTCAGAATTGCTTATGAGTAGTCTTGATTTGAACTCTGCTTGGCCCTTGATGATCACTCTGCCTGCCTACTCCAGCCTCAACACTTCATACTCCAGAAGTCCTTTTTTTTCAAGAGATGGGGTCTTGCTCTGTTGCACAGGTTGAATTTTGAAGTCCAGTGGAACAATCATGGTTCAGTGTGGTCTCAATCTCCTCATCTTTCTGCCTCAGCCTCCCAAGTAGCTAGGACTAGACATATGACACCATGCCCAGCTTTTTTTTTCTTAAGAGATGCAGTCTCACTATGTTGCCCAAGCTTGTCTTGAACTGCTGGCCTCAAGCAATCCTCCTGCTGCTTTGGCCTCCAAAGGCTAGGATTACAGGTGTGAGCCACCATGCCTGGCCACACTCCAGCAGTTTTGAACCCAGCCTGTTTCACGCTTCCAATCCTCTGAAATTCATTTTTTCAATACATGACTATTGTATTCTAGCACTGGGGACACAGAAGAAACAAACCAGACAAGGTTCCTCACTCTAGTGGCATTTACATTCTAATGGAGTAAGACAATCAATCAAGAAAACAAGCAGATGGTGATGAGCACTCTGTAGAAAAAAGGAGTTGGAAGATGTGGTAAGGGGTGACTGGGAGGCTACTTCAAGTTGAGTGGTTGGGGAAAACCTCCCTGAGGAGATGCATCGACGTTGATCCCTGAATGACAAGGAGCCAGCCACAGAACGCTCAAAAGATCATTTCATTAGAAGGAAGACCTAGGGCAAAAGTCTTAAGGGAATAAATAAAATGAGCTTGGTTAGTTCAAAGAACAGAAAGAAGACCAATGTGAATGAAAGACGTTATCAAGGCATTTGAGGTCTGTCCCCTGCCTACTGTGACCTCTTCTCAGGCAGTACCACTGGGCATATGACAAGCCTGCAGAGGCGAGTCATAAAAAGTCTTGTAAGCTAAGGTACAGATTTGGATTTTCTAAGAGCCACGGCAGACAGTGAGCCATCTGCTGGGTGATGTGAACTGTAAGGGTGTGGTGAGAGGCAAGAGTGGAAGGTATTGTTAGGAAGCTACCACAGCAGTCTAGAGGAAAGATGATGATGGTCTGGACTAGGCTGATAATAGGAGGGATGGAAGAAAGTGGACTGATTTGAAATATATGTAGACTCTATAGGAATTACTAATGGATTAGATGTGGGAAACAAGGGAAAGAGGATTCAAGATTATCTTCTAAATTTTGGCTTGTGCAACTGGGCAGATGGCGATACCATTTACTGAGGTGGAATAACTAAATGAGAGGTGTATTTGAAGGATAAAACTAAGTTTTGTTTTGGGTATGTTAAGTTTGAAATACCTGTTTGACATACAAGTAGAAAAAAGCATAGGCCTATATACATAGAAAAATATAGGTCTTTCCATATATACAGATTCATACTTATCTATTAATCAATCTACCTCAGGAGTTCCAGGGAAAAGTCAGAGCTAGAGATAGAAATCGTGAGAATCAGTATTACATACCCAGTATTGAAAGCCCTGAAGCATACATTCCTACTTTGTCCAACTGTTGAATTCCTGATCATCTTTTAAAACCTAGTTCAAACATCATCTCCCAAGAGGTCTTCCCTGATCACCCTGAGTTAATCCCTTTCTCCCCTTTATTATGTGGGTATTTTGTAGATACTTATATCTTTCCATATAAGACTACACAGTAATTATTTGTTGGCACATAAAGGCAGGGACCTCATTCCATTCACTTTGGTGGTCACTTTTTTTTTTTTTAAGAGATAGGGGTCTCACTACATTGCCCAAGCTGGATTCAAACTCCTGGGCTCAAGTGATCCTCCCATCTCAGCCTCCTGAGTAGCTGGTACTATAGGCTTGTGCCACAAGCCCACTCACATTGATCTTCTTTAACATTAACATTGCAAATTACGATGTGTCTGATAAAAGTAAACTCTCAATAAATGTCAATTAAATTGAACTAAATTCATCAAACTCACAAAGTCAGAGGCAAAAGTTATACTGACAAAGACAAAATGCCACTAGATGAGAATTAAGACTTTCAACTTGGGGGAGAGGAGAACAATAAAAACAATCAAATCCTTTTTCTCCCTACATCTAAACTAATAAGTATACAGACACAGAAGGACAAAGTTCTCTTATTCATAGAAAAAAAAAAAAAAAGAATGGCTTGAGTCCAAAATGCTTACATTATTTATTCTCTCAGTGACTAACATTATGACTATCTGCCCATAAAAGATCTGCATAAAAAATGCTGCAGTGTGCCTATCACCAAACAATGTATCATTTATACTGCAAAAGTTCTGGAAGGAGGGTAAGCAGCATTATAAATACTCACCAGCAGACAGTGGGCAAAGTCAGGACCTCCCACTAGGCCGGTGAAATTTCCCAGCTGCTCAGCAAGAGCTAATAGTACCTCATCTTCATCATAAATTGTATCTGGAAGTGACAACAACAGGGACTCATCAACATAGCTCTCCCACAGCTGGACACTGACACAAAACCAGGATCAGATTCACTATGCAACCAGTAAGGTGGCCCAGTCAAAATCCTAACAGCATTTTCTTCCTTCTCCTCAATCAACTCTCTTCCTAGATCTGTTTTGCACAACAAATTAGAAATTCATACTCTCCTATCAATTGCTTTCCCAGTAGCTAAATGGTTGATGTTTGAATATATCTAGCCACAAGTAACAATATACTCTGTTTTGTTTCTTTTGCACAGAAACCACATGGCTCATTTTAATGTGGGTAACAAACTAAAAAAGTCAAAGTGTTGAAAGCTACTGGAAAATGGAATGTCCCTGCCCTTCTCTAAACAAAGATTCACATACCTGTAAGGAATGGCAGCAATTCACTTCGTGTCCTTTCTACTCCAAGTGCTAGGGCAATTGTTGATAACTTCTTAATACTGTTGAGTCGGAGCTTCAGAAAAGAAAGTAGAAAGAAAATAAATGTAAAGAAACGGTTAAATTTAGATCAAAAGACAAAAGGTGCTAACAGGTGAAACAATGATACGGGTAATAATGAAGATAACTAACATTTCATTTACATTTCACTGCTAAGGGACTTCCAAGAGGAGTGTAACTCGGTCTCACTAGCCAGCGGATTTCCTAGGAGAAACACTCAGAAGGCCCCGGAAGAGAAATGAATGAAAGATAATACAACACCCAGGAAGTAACATAATTTTAAAAAAGAGGGCACTTTCGCAGTGGTGAAGCAGGTGAAACGGTTGAATACAACGCCTGTCGTTTCAAAGAAAAGTTCCCATAAAGCTGATACGACTCGTCCAGGTTGATCGGTAACCCCACCTCCTCTTTCTACCCAACAAGCCGAGCCAGTTCTAAGCCGGGAAGGGATTTCGAGGCACTTCAAAGGGCTTCTGTGCATCCTGCGCCCTCAGCCGCTCCAGCCCCGTGCCGGCCCCGCACCGCGCTCCTCCAGCTGCCTCGCCTACAAGGCGCGGCCACCTCACAGCCCGGAAGGGGGGCCCAGGCGGGAAGCGGGTTCCCAGACAACCGCCCTGTAAGGGCCAGGCTCCGGGCGGACGCCTCAGGGGGTCCGAAGCAGGGGTACTGGAGAGGTCCTGGGGAGAGTCGCGGCGTGCCACCACGGCCCTTCACGGAGCTTTCCCCGCCTCCCCTTCAAGTTTCTGCTGAGTCGGGTTCAATCAGTCCCCCGGCCACCCTCACCGCGGCACAGGCCTTCCCCCTTCTCTACCACGCGACCGGCCGGGCCCACCTCGGCTCCCCGGGCCCAGTCCAGTACCTGCACGTCTTCATTGCGGAGCTCGTCAATTAAAACTGCGATAGGGTATAGCGAATCGTCTCCATCTCCGCCCGCTGCTCCCGCGCAGGTCCCGGACATCGCTGCGCCCGCCATGTTCTTTCTCCTCCTACTGCTGCTGGTCACCGCCTCCCGCCCCGCGCCCAGGCCCCGCCCCGCGCCCAGGCCCCGCCCCGCG